TCGTGATACATTCAGTTATACAAATCCGACCGTGATCTGCAATGTCTATCAGAGGTAAAACTGCCACTTCTTTCTTATTATCATGAAATTTTAAAACTTTTTCAATTGTATCCATTGTTGAACGATTCCATAGTTCATCTCTTCCCAGTAATCCATCTGCTGGTATCTTGCTTCCCAATAGAACTACATGCATGTTGAATTTTAACTCAGTAAATTCCTCATGCTCTATTTTTACTGTACCCAATGTACTTATGTTACCACCAAAGGCTCCTATTAGTCCCTTTGTATTGCGTTTATTTATTTCTGCTTTATTTAATAACGCTTCGGACTTTATTAAACTTGTGTCAGCTCCGGAATCCAATAGAAGTAGCAATTTATTGCCCACTGCCTGTTTACAAGGTACTTCTATATAGGCATCATCGAACGATTGACTAATACCGTCCATGGTATTGTAATTCGTTCCCGTAACCCGTGGTATTCGAAAATCCAAATTTTATTGATTTTCAACTGCTCCCATAGTGTTGAAAAAACTGACATTATTAACATGCATATAATCAGTACATGTATTACAATAATTCCCAAATATTTCTTACATTCATTTGATAATTGTTCTTTAAATTTCTTATATGTATCATCTGCCATATTTGTTAACTTTATGCTATTTACTTTCAAGTTATGAGATTCTTTTGCTTCTATTATAGTTAATTTATTTTCTTTCTTTTTTTCTAATACATTCCTTTGGACTTCCTCTTTTATTTTTGATGCTGGTTCCCATTTTTGTGTTATATTTATCCTTCTTTGTTTGTCGGTATTCCAGTCTAGCGTCTTAGACTGGGCCGATTGGAGTTTCCCTGCTGAGTAGGTAGCGTTACTCGGCAAGCCTTTGCCATATGCCCTTCTTTTCCATATCTGAAACATTTAATTTTCTCTCCTCAAGAGCTACTGCTCACTTGGTTATTCTGTGGTTTATTTCTGTGTTGTGAATAATTTTGGTTACTTGTCCAACGACTATAATTATTTGTTATTTGGCGTTGATTTCTATTGTCTGAATTCACAAATTTACAAAACCTATTTTGTTCATGCCCCTTTACTTTACAAATATTACAAAACAACGTATTCAATTTCTTAAAACATTTGAAAGAGTCATGCCCCATTTTTTTACAGAAATCACATGTTATTTGTTTCGTACTTAGCTCATTAATTGTACCAATTCTACATTTTGTGCCATTCTCATGACCATATTCACCACAATTTGAGCAGTACGGTGTGTTTTGTCTGTCTTTGCAATTTACCCATCCATGTCCTAATTTGTTACAAAAAACACACTTTGTTTCCGTTAACGACATGTTAATATTAGAACGATGTTCCCCTAAAAGTTCTTCCGCTGATTCTGCTATGGCCACCAGTTTAGTTATTGTGTCATTCTCCAATCCAATAAATCGGTGTTTCAAATTATTGTCTCTAAGCCCCTTTATGAAACACCTGACAGCTAACTGTTTGTACTCTCGTAATTGCGAAAGAATTTCCACTTCACCCCCTTGATTTTTTATTTGTGTCTCCGCTTCGTGGAGTAGAGCCTGTAGGCGCCCCCCATAAGCTGTTGCAGATTCATTCTGTCTTTGCTTGTTGAGTGTTAAATCTTCTCTGATGTGCTCTAAGGTCCTCCTTCTTAAATACGTTCGTTTGACAGCTTCGCACAAATCGTTTATTGTAAAGTAGGGTCTATTAGCAATATTGTCGTATGCTATACCCACTAACCGTTGTTTTACACAACTTACAATATATTGTGCTCCAGCTTGAGGTAAAGCTTGTTGCACTAGTTCGCAACCAGCTACAAATTTATGTACCTCTCCTCTTAGCTCCGGGCCTTCTGTTCCAGCGAAGTATGGAACCACTTTAGATACTGTTTCCATAATTACACTTATGGACGTCATGTTTCGTTCCGTTCCTAATCCTTTATTATTTGCCAACTCCTCTTCCGTTGTTTGAATATTTGTTTTGATCATTGGTTTATTTTTGTCGAAAACACTTTTATTTTTCTTTGGATTTTCCTGATCCGTTTTATAATAGCGTTCTAATTCTTTTTGTAATTGTTTTACTTGTAGCACGAGTTTCTTTATTGTTTCTTCCTTTTCCCTAATTTGGTTTTCTAATTCACTGTCTTCCTCTAGGTATATGCTAATGTCTTTATCTGACTTTCTTTCTCTTCGAAGGGCTTTTTCCAAGCTTAACGTCTGATTTTCTGCGTCTTGAAGTAAAACAGTCAATTCTTTTGTCTGTAGAACTAGCTGTTTGCATTTATACTCCAAGCCACACTTAGCATCCGTTAATTCTTCTAATGTACTTTGTAATTTTGCTGTTTTTATTCCTTCAACTTTCTCTATCTGTTCTTTTATATATTCTAATTCGTCTATTTTTGGCAATCTATTATGTCTTATGTAATCTTTAGCTAATTCAAGAAATTCTGTATCTGGATTCAATTCTACTAGTTTGTCCCACGCTTGATTCAACGTACTTGTTAAATATTTATTTAATTTGAATAATTCTTGTTCTAAAATTTTTATTCTCTCCTGCATTTATGAATTTATTGTAAGAAGTTTGAATAAAATTCGAATAAAAACTTCCTCAAATAGAAAAAAAAATTTTTTTATGTAATCTTTAACCAGCAATTTTGAACCAACAATTACATAAATCTCAGAATCATAAACCGCAGACAAAAATCTCTAATCTTAATTATTATAATTCATTGGGTTCAAGCATAATATTATTAGCCAACATACAGAAAAACAAAAATTTTCGTGAAACAAAAACCAACATTCATTTCACACATTTATTAACCAGCAAAAACTCTTTGCTTACCAACCAGCAAAATTCTTTGCTTGAAACATCAAAAACAAATCAAAATTTATTTTTCACACTTTATTTTAATGCCATATTTTGTAATTCATTAACACAATACTTTTTGTACAAATTGTATAAATTTTCGAAATTTATATGACTAAAAAATAAATTTAATTAATTTTCTTTATTATAATCCTTTATTATTTTCTGTTGCCATTTCCTAATGGCTTCTTTACCTAAGTGTTTTACCTTGTTAAACTCTAAATTATAAAGAAACTCTCCGCCTTTGTATTTTAAAATCGATTCTACTGTAATTCTGTCAACTAAATCATTCACCTTTTCTAATAACTTATCATGAATCCTCAAATGTGATTCAATCTTTTCTTTCCTAAACCTCTCCTCACATACAAAACAATATGAGTACTTCATAATACCCCTCCAAAATATTCAAAAAATGGTACAATATAACCAACAGAAAATGCACAAAACTTATTGAAATTTAGAAATCATAAATGTAAATTTGAATATTAAATGGATATTAAATATTAAATTAAGCAATTTTAAAAATGATTAATATAAATTTTCTTGCTATTATACAATTTAATTTTATATGCTAGCTTACAATTTAAATTTTTTCATGCTAGCTTTCCGTATATGATAGTTCAAATTTTCTAGATAGATTATTTACTTAAGAATAATAATTATTGTATCACTTACATATATTTTAGAATATTGTTTTCCGTGTGATGTCATCTTCAATGTTGTATCTTCAAAAAAAATCCCTCGTAGAATGATGTAAAAATTAATATGTTTTGATATAATATGTGATATGTTTCCCACGTAGGTTGTTGACCGGAAAAATCCTTTTCCGGTACCGGCTGCGCCAATGTTGTATTTTTAATGTTATATATAATTTCGAGGAGACCAAAAACTGATGGCAAACAATGTTGTATTTCCAAAATTTTCAAAACACTTTCATACTCTCGATAATAAAATTAAACACGTAATTTTTGTTCATTTCATTCATTTATTGTCTATAATATATAAACTCAATGTCTTAAATTTTAAAGAAAATTACACACATAGTATTATTGCGTTTTTACAGTTTTCCATAGGTTTTGATATTTAATATTCTAGTACACAATTGTTCATAGACAATTCTTAACGTTTATTCATTTTTACTTCTTGATTATATATTTTTACACTTTTACATTCCACAACATATTTAATGTTTTAATAATTTATTGTTCATATACAATTCATTTCATAGAATGTCTTTTTTAGATTAACCTTTTTACATTCCTTTAGAATCACTTCTAGAATTTCCTTTTTAGGATTCACCTTTTAGAATCATCTTTTGACTCATTTTTTACAATTGACTTTCTTCTTAGGATTCACCTTTTAGAATCATCTTTTGACTCACTTTTTACAATTGACTTTCTTTTTAGGATTCACCTTTTAGAATCATCTTTTGACTCACTTTTTACAATTGACTTTCTAATGACTGACACATTTTACTTTCACTTAAAAACTGACACATTTCGAGTTTACATCAAAAACTAACTGCAACTGCCCTAATTAATAAACAGACTCTATATATATAGAGCTGCTTTCACCTACGCTTAGAACTTTCTCTAATATGACCTTTATATTAGACATTGCCCCAATAACTTAGAAAACTTTAAAAATTAATTAAAAGTTAATTCTGTAATAATAATTTTGCGTAATTCGCAAAATTATTCATTCTACATATTTCAGTCTTTACCTTGTTACCATTTCTTTTTTTCAAAGTTATTTACAATTGACCCAGATAATAAATACTACAAAAAATCAGCATTTTACTTCGACAGTTTGTCTCACTGACTTTTTGTCTTCTTGTTAAAATTACTGCAATTGTAAATAACTTTGCCTACTTTTAGGTGTAAATAGAAAATGTCCCCATAAAGACTGCTATGCATTTATTAATTATTCTTAACTAAAACTTTTAACTTTATTACATTAATTGTCCCAAAAATACGGTCTTAAATCTTACTTTGAGGAACGAAACTATTGTTAACTTTACATCACAACAAAAGTTCTATGTTAAAATACATTATATGAAATATGCGCACAAATCTAAACTAATTGTTACATTTTTCTCCCCAAAATTAAAATACAAATTTTTATTAAAACTATAAAGTTTAATCCTTGAATTTGTTTAAAACAATTTCTTCATAAAATGGTCTACAATTCATGGTTATATTTAATCGCGAGCACAAAAGAAAAATACCAGATAACTTTCGATGTATTGAGTAGATTTCTTCAGGTGGTGGACACAAACGGTGTGCCACCATTGTAGGCACTAAATTAGCAATGCGTTCTGTTGTATTCTGAAATATTTATAAGTTATAATAAATGGTAACTGTATCAATAATTTATATTAACTTGACGTCCGAAGTTGAATTCACCATTAAACCGAAAAATTTCGCCTAAAATCATTACAGCATCTATGTGAGCTTCTTCCATTTGTTTCGATTCATATCCGGTAAGAAATCCCATTTTCTGCGATATTTCTAAAACTCCTTGACGGTTGTTATTAGCTGCACAAATAATAACCTGGAAATACAAATATACCATATTGATATGAGTACTTGAAATTTTTTTTGTCTATTCTTTTATTTTAATCTATAGTGATTTTAACTAATTTCAAGCCTTAACGAAACATTTTCAATGTCAAAGATAATAAACCTTTCATATTTGCTGTAATAAAATTAAAAAATTAATAACAACCAAAGCACTTGCCGTGCTTTAAATTAGAACGAGCTTATAAACTACAGCTTTATTTTGGAAACACAAGTTCAACGAATTGAAAGTTTTAACTTTTTGGGTTTGCCTTATTCTTTATTTCTTTTCAAAGATACTCTTTTTGTAGAGACATATTGTACTGCATATTGTTTTACTTACTATATGTAAAGCGACCATTCTGGTGCTTTTTACAAAGAAGCTATGCTATGTTATTCTACAAATCCGCTTTCGCGGTTAGGAAAAGTTGAACAATATTATATTTTAACATATTGTTCTTTACTTTTCACAAGCCTAATATTTGAATAAAGTATTAGTGTTGCTGTTAAGCTAGACTTACTTTGTATAGGGACAAAGAAGCTTTATTAAAATTTAGAGAGTTTTCGAATAACAAAGAAAGAAATAAAGGACAAACACAAAAATTTATTTTTTTTTTTAATTTTATTGAAATTTGGCTGACCATACAACGCTGTTTCGAGTATTGCCAAGTACTCTTCATCAGTGGTCTTTCGAAATAATCGAATTTTATTTAATTAGTTTATAGTCCGTATATAATTTGTTTGGACTGCAAGTGCCAGGCTTAGAACTCGTGCCTGTCAAATTAGAAGCGATGACTAATCGTGTTTATCCACAACAAGCCAAGGCTGCACAAACTTTCAATGCTCAAATTCCAGGTTTTTTATTGTCACTTATTTTTATTTAATTAGTGACACTAACCAAAGCACTTGCCGTGCTTTAAAATAGAACGAGCTTATAAACTACAGCTTTATTTTGGAAACACAAGTTCAACGAATTAAAAGTTAACTTTTGAGTTCGCCTATTCTTTATTTTTTTCAAAGCTACTCTTTTTGTAGAGACATTTTGTAATGCATATTGTTTTACTTACTATATGTAAAGCGACCATTCTGGTGCTTTTACAAAGAAGCTATGCTATGTTATTCTACAAATCCGCTTTCGCGGTTAGGAAAAGCTGAACAATATTATATTTTAACATATTGTTCTTTACTTTTCACAAGTCTAATATTTGAATAAAGTATTCGTGTTGCTGTAAAGCACTTTGGCAAGTGCTTTGGTTGGTGTCACTAATTAAATAAAAATAAGTGACAATAAAACCTGGAACTTGAGCATTGAAAGTTTGTGCAGCCTTGGCTTCTTGTGGATAAACACGATTAGTCATCGCTTCTAATTTGACAGGCACGAGTTCTAAGCCTGGCACTTGCAGTCAAAACAAATTATATACGGACTATAAACTAATTAAACAAAATTCGATTATTTCCAAAGACCACTGATGAAGAGTACTTAGCAATACTCGAAACAGCGTTGTATGGTCAGCCAAACTTCAATAAAATTAAAATAAATTTTTGTGTTTGTCCTTTATTTCTTTCTTTGTTATTCGAAACCCCTCTAAATTTTAATAAAGCTTCTTTGTCACTATACAAAGAAAGTCTAGCTTTACTAGCAACACTAATACTTTATTCAAATATTAGGCTTGTGAAAAGTAAAGAACAATATGTTAAAATATAATATTGTTCAACTTTTCCTAACCGCGAAAGCGGATTTGTAGAATAACATAGCATAGCTTCTTTGTAAAAAGCACCAGAATGGTCGCTTTACATATAGTAAGTAAAACAATATGCATTACAAAATGTCTCTACAAAAAGAGTAGCTTTGAAAAGAAATAAAGAAATAGGCAAAACCCAAAAGTTAAACTTTCAATTCGTTGAACTTGTGTTTCCAAAAATAAAGCTGTAGTTTATAAGCTCGTTCTAATTTAAAAAGCACGGCAAGTGCGTTGGTTGTTGTCACTAATTAAATAAAAATAAGTGACAATAAAACCTGGAACTTGAGCATTGAAAGTTTGTGCAGCCTTGGCTTCTTGTGGATAAACACGATTAGTCATCGCTTCTAATTTGACAGGCACGAGTTCTAAGCCTGGCACTTGCAGTCCAAACAAATTGTATACGGACTATAAACTAATTAAATAATATTCGATTATTCCCAAAGACCACTGATGAAGAGTACTTGGCAATACTCGAAACAGCGTTGTGTGGTCAGCCAAACTTCAATAAAATTAAAAATAAATTTTTGTGTTTGTCCTTTATTTCTTTCTTTGTTATTCGAAAACTCTCTAAATTTTAATAAAGCTTCTTTGTCACCATACAAAGAAAGCGTAGCTTTATAGCAACACTAATACTTTATTCAAATATTAGGCTTGTGAAAAGTAAAGAACAATATGTTAAAATATAATATTGTTCAACTTTTCCTAACCGCGAAAGCGGATTTGTAGAATAACATAGCATAGCTTCTTTGTAAAAAGCACCAAAATGGTCGCTTTACATATAGTAAGTAAAACAATATGCATTACAAAATGTCTCTACAAAAAGAGTAGCTTTGAAAAGAAATAAAGAAATAGGCAAAACCCAAAAGTTAAACTTTCAATTCGCTGAACTTGTGTTTCTAAAAATAAAGCTGAAGTTTATAAGCTCGTTCTTATTTAAAAAGCACGGCAAGTGCGTTGGTTGTTGTCACTAATTAAATAAAAATAAGTGACAATAAAACCTGGAACTTGAGCATTGAAAGTTTGTGCAGCCTTGGCTTCTTGTGGATAAACACGATTAGTCATCGCTTCTAATTTGACAGGCACGAGTTCTAAGCCTGGCACTTGCAGTCCAAACAAATTGTATACGGACTATAAACTAATTAAATAAAAATTCGATTATTCTCAAAGACCACTGATGAGAGTACTTGGCAATACTCGAAACAGCGTTGTATGGTTCAGCCAAATTTCAATAAAATTAAAAAATAAATTTTTGTGTTTGTCCTTTATCTTTCTTTGTTATTCGAAAACCCTTCTAAAAATTTAATAAAGCTTCTTTGTCACTATACAAAGTAAGTCTAGCTTAACAGCAACACTAATACTTTATTAAAAAATTAAAATAAAATTACATTTAAAATTATTTGTTTTTGATTAATACAATATTGCTACCTGTTGTAAATTGATAGTTACATTTAGCGAGTTTTTTTTAAACATATTAAATTAAATTTTTGATTAGATTAATGACCCTGTAAATTTTATATTTTTTATTAATGTTTCTATTAAAACAAATATTTTTTATAAACGAATGACCCTGTCATTTAAAGTAGGTTTTGATTAGTTTTTTGCCGCTAATAAAAGGTAGGTAAATTTGTTATAACTATTACTCTTGTTTGTTTGCATAAACAAATTTAAGAAAAATATTGTGCAAGCATTTTTTATGTGATGCAGTTATTTTTATTGAATTTGAGTGCAATGCGTACAATAATAAGAAATTTGTTTTGACAAATTTACGGGACTTTATTTACTCGAAAATATTTTTATTTTTGCCTGCAATGGAAGGAATTTCAAATAAAAGGGTAGCAAAATTGTCAAATGGTTCTATTTGGAATTTCTCCTGTTAGGGTAAGTAACGATTTTGTTAGGGACAACAGTGGGAGCTCAGACTAGTTGGTCTAGGCACATGTTGGTTCGTTTGGCCATTGCTGACGATCATCATGTGAATGGGTGAACTGGTTTGGGTGAAGTGATGGTGGTTGAATTACATTCTGCTTGGCTTTGGCTGGCGTAGAGTAATTTAACCACTTGACCAGGCTCCATTTGGCCATAGCTGTTGGAAGAATGGATGACGAGTCACCAACACTATTAGAAAGCGTATGGATCTACGAGCGTTTGGCAATTGCTGACAATCGTGGCCAGGTTTCGCATAGGAAAGGGAACTTTTTCTGGCTTTAGCTGACAAGAATTTTATTGTACAGCCGATTTGGAATTTCTCCTGTTACAGATTGCTATTTGGAATTTCCCCTGTTACAGGTTTTTTACATCACTCATCACAACGATTCCAACGCCTCGCAACGATTGCAATGCATACAACGCTTCTAACGATTGTAATACTACAACGATTTCAACGATTTCTACGCTCGCAACGTTTGCAACGCATGCATTGACATTACTTTATTGATTTTGGAATTTCTCCTGTTTACAAAATTTACAACATTTTACAACACAACTTTCCAGAACTTGATTGTATTTTATTTTATTAAACAATAAACGCTGCTATAAATAGAAGTGTCTCTTTATATTTTTTTTTTAAATTAATGTCTTACAACGAACCCTAGTATACTCGCTGAGTATACCCCAGTTATAGAAAGGGCCGGCAAAGGTCGCTACATTGTATATTATATTAAAAAATTACTGAAAAATTAAAAACTATATATTCCTTTACAATAATCTTAACATGATATATAAAACATAAGTTTAAAAATACATACTGAATTGAAGCTACTGAACATATGCTGAATACACATATAAAAATATTTTTTTTTGCATTTTATAATTATTAAAATTACAAATTATCCATTCCGGTATAAAATGTTATTTTTTTATAATATATTACGTAGCATTAAGTATAAATCAATAAATATTTATATAATATCCTTCTTTAAAAATACAAGCGAAATGTATACCAGAAAATTTGTTTCTTATTTTATTTTAAGAATATTTATTTTCCACAATTTCAAAAATTAGAGTGTAGTGCGCGCGCAAAATAATATCACTGCGTATTTTTGATATTTTTCAAGTGCAAAACGTGCAAAATAATTTAAAATTTTTATCGCAATAAATCGAGACAGTGACTCCTTACAAAATTTATAAAAATATTAGTGCCAGACTTAACGTCAAAAATTAAATTATTAATATATTTATATTGTTGATATGCAAAAAAGTGAATTTATTTGCAAATTTGTTTTGTTTTTTGAATATATTTATTTGCATTAAATTC